GACCGCGGTTCAATCCCCCAGCACCACATGCCAGCCAGCCCCGCCCCCTGGTGGGCTGAGCTGGCCGCACACACACCACACACTCTCTCTCTCTCTCTCAAATAAATAAAAAAAAAAAAAAATTTTTTTTAAATAATTTTATTGAGAAATAAATAGCAATGAGACAGCTTCAAAATTGATTACTAGCACAGTTTCAATAATTAATACATTGCATATTGTTGTCTTAGTGGTTATTCACTGTAAAAGATGCAGACATGATATCCTGTCCACAAACACTATAAAAACAAATCTCTCTATTCACTGAATTAAGAGAATGCAGTTGTATGTCTATCCTATTTTGAGTATAGAGATACAAAATGGTCATTCAGGGGCCAGGGAGATGGCTCAGTGGAATAAGTGCTTCCCTGGCAAGCGCAAGGCCTGAGTTCAATCCCCAGTTCTGAAAAAACCCAAAAAAACCAAAACCAAAAATACCCAAAATGGTCATTCATTTGTATCCCCTTTTTTGTTTAGTTGTGTCAGAGAAGGGTGAGTATTCCATTGTTATTTAAATATTGTAGGTGCATGAATTCTGCAAAATATTCCAATATAGTCCAGTAGGTCCATAATAGCAGTAGGTTTTCTGTAAGACTGGCAATGTCAGAAGTTGTTGACTTGAGCTTTCTACAGCTCAGCATATTAATATGGTTTTACTTTACATACCTTGTGCTTATATTTTTTGCTGGATGGTCAAGACCAAGATAAAGCAAGACCTATATAACAAGAAATGTAATTTCTGTATCTGACAAGGTCAGTCAAATTCCCTCAGGATTTACCGTGAAATCCTGTACCACAGTTTGGAGATCCGTTGTGAGTGTCAACCATGTGGATGAGTCATGGCCATTGTTTGACCAATTTGCTTTCTGTGAAAGCCTGAGAGAATGTTTTCTCTCCACGTGACTCTCCTTAGGCATACTCTACATCAATGATCACTTTTCTCTGTGGCCCCATAATCTCCTTGATCAGAAAATCTGGGACATAACTGAGTTATATGATGCTACAGTACAGTATCTCCAATGTCCTGAGTCTTCACTGACCTTGAAAGGCTAGGGCCAAAATGTTGGCTGTCCTTGCAGCCCTTCTTTTTCTCTAATTTTTGGTCTACAAACTTAGGTAGTTAACCCTCCAGAAGAGAAGCTTCTTATTACAGTACTCTGAAAAGAGAGATCGTAGAGGATTTCAGAAAATGAAAAGATATTTTCTGCTCATGGATAGCAAGAACCAACATTGTGAAGATGGCTATACTCCCAAAATTGCTGTACAGATTTAATGCAATTCCTATCAAACTACCACCAACATACCTCACAGATCTACAGAAATCATTCCTAAAATTTATTTGGAACCAGAAAAGACCTAGAATATCAAAGGCAATCCTGAGCAACAAAGACAAGGCAGGAGGCATTACAATTCCGGACTTGAAATTATACTAAAATGCTACTGCGATAAAATCAGCATGGTACTGGCAACAAAACAGACCTGAGGAACAACGGAATACATTAGAAGACGCAGAAGCCTCTATGAACACACTCAGCCATGTTACCTTCGACAAAGGGGCCATACATGCTTACTGGAAGAAAGATAGCCTCTTTAACAAATGGTGCTGGAAAAACTGGCTCTCTACACACCAAAAATTAAAACTTGACCTAGGTCTATCACCATGTACTAAGCTAAAGTCAAAATAGATTAAAGACCTAAACATTAAAACAGAAACACTCAATCTCCTGGAAGAGAAAGTAGGAGGAACATCTCTACCTTTTCTAACAAGGTACATCATCTTAACCACAGAAATGGAAAATGAAGCAATTATCTTCTTTGTCATCTTCTCAAATGGTACACAATTCTACCAGTCTAGATGCACAAGACAAATTTAACTCATTACCAACAATGCCTTCCTTAGGGCAGTGTCATGGTTTGGGGTTCTTGCAAGAGGAACAACATAGGACACATTTTATAATAGTGTTCTATAACGAATCACCCAATAATCAAATGCAAGAAGTGCAGGAAACCTGTCCACACAGAAATGAAGATTCCAGCTGAGAGTCTGGATCCTAATATCCTGCATGAGTTTAGCTGAAAACCTAGAGCTCATAATACAAGTCCAACTGGAGGTCTAGGGCCCAAAACAAAGTCTCATGCAGTTCTACTTCACAGATCTCTGCTAGAAAGGTCATGGCGAAGGTGAGAAAGTCTATGCAAGTGGGATGAAGGATCTGTGCTAGCAGGCTGAGGGATCTGAACTGGAGCTGGAAGTAACACTCAAGGTAAGCACCAGAGCTCCCCCAAAAGTACCACAGCCATCCTCAGCAACAGTGAGGTCCTGAGCTCTCCAACAATGAGGAAATCTGAGTTTCCATCAGGAAAGCCAATGCAACAAGCTTCTCCAGGAGGCTGAGCAGTGCACCATTTTCCCCTCTGGACCCAGGAAGCGATGCTCAAGATGAGGACCAAGCTCCTCCAAAGTTCATCGCTAAAGCCAGCACAACAAGGTCTTCTAGCAGAACAGCCCAAGAGAACTAGCAGCTTCCAACAGCTCCAACAGCTTCTCCAAAAAGCATCCCTAACAGTGTTTCAGAAGCTTCTCCTGTTCTGCCTTTTATGCTGCTGGCAACAACCCTCAGGTGGGCCTCCCACAATCAACACCATGTTACTTTAATTCAGCTGGGTGTAATAAGCTGACCACCAGTTAGAAATCCACTACAGGCAGGAAGGCTTAGTTTTCTCAGGAACCCTGACTGGAAAAAGCCTACACAGGATCTAACTGAAATTCTTCTCAATAGGATGTAAGATCATTCAGTCCCTGACTTGTCAACCTGTCCTATCCCATTTTTGAGGCACACTCTGTCCTTCCCATTTTCTACATCAAACCACAACGTTCTTAATGTAAGGCTTATTTTAAACTTCCCTGTCTTCATTAAAGGGGCTTTCTGTTTTTGGGATGCTCTTTGTATTTACCTGGTGACAGCTACTAAGTTTTACCCAAGATAAAACACAGTCTTATCTGTGTATGCTCCCCTACATCCTCTTCTTTGTGGGTACATGATAGTTATCTCTGGCTTTCTGACAGTCACATATAAGACACAGTAAGCATTTCAGCTGACTCAGAAGGCAGAAAGGGAAGCAAGTGTGTATGGACTCTGCCAGGTAAACTTTCAAAGTCTCAAAGGAGTTATGCAATGTTTCAAAAACTTTAGTTGAAAAAACAAAATAGCAGAAAGGGTTCAAACATTATGAATATATACACTACATTGACAGTCTCAGAGAATTACATTTAAAATATTTCATCACACTAAAATAAAACTTACTCATTTTTTTTACTTGATTTTTTTAAAGACTAATCATATATGTCAACATCCTAGTTCAAAATATTCTTCCAAAACAGGGCATTTGATAACAAATGAAGTATTTAGTCTCAGAATGGAATAGGTTGGAAGAAAATGGCAAATTCAAATCTACTTTTTCAATGACTAATTCAAATCACTCAACTACTTACTAAGAAGTCATCATAATCTGTTTTCAGAGGTACAGGAGCTCATCAATACAAGCTAAAATGGTGGAATTCATAGAAACCAATCAGTTTTAAAACTGAGTATTAGAAATTTCATTGTAAAGGTTGTTTAGTGAATAATAAGTACAGTGTAAGTGGACACATACTAAACTGCTACTTTCTGGAGTAAGATTAGATGGTCTCATCGGTTTTAAAGATGCTATTTATTTCATGAATTAATTCTTAAAAATACCTCAAAAGCTTTTGAGATTTTAAACTAACTTACCAGTTAAAATTTTCATATATATTTGAAATGTGTTTTTTACTTTTTCGTAAGTAGGTAGGCTTTCCTTAATATTCATTTTAAAAAATTAATATACTGTTTGACTTAATATATTTGCATATTTCAAACCTCAAAAAAAGTTAATTTCACCTTACAGCCTTTCCTCTGCTTTGACTCATCCTTTTATTTCTTCCACAGAAACACATATCTGTAAAATTAGTTTATTCCTTCTAAACATTTTCTTTAATAGAAGCAAGAGCTTATTGTTAATATGTTCCCTTTCTTCTCTCAATTTTACAAGTTTTTACCTTTTTCTTTACTAGTGATTCTCTTTCACGGTCCCTTTTTTTCCATTCCTCTGCCAAAGCCTGCATATGAGCCAGTTCTTTTTTCTTTAGCTACAAAAGCAAGGAAAATAAAGTCACCTCCAAAATACTCCAGATATTTCAAATAAACACAACAGTTGTTTTCAGTTAAGGAACTAATACTGATCAAAACTTTTTCAGGCATTTTATTTTAGTTTTTAAATAAAAATGGAGTTTGCTTGAGGAAAGTAATATCCGTCTGAGTATAATTCAAGAGAGTATAAAGTTAAGGCTGCTTTCTATTGCATAACTCTCTTGTTTGGAAACTGATGGTGCAGGCTTCCAGATGGTTAACAGAATGATAACCTGAAATTAAAAGAATAATCTTTATTCTTAATTTTGCCCAATAACAGTGGGCAAAATGTAGAGAAATCCTTCTGAGTGTCATCAGCCATGTTGTCATATTTCATGTATTCTTTTTATTTTCAATTTTTCTTTGAGAAAAGGGCATTGCCATCATTCAAAGAAATAAGGCAAGAGACAGGAAAGAAAATCCAGCTACACAGAAGGAAAGATAAAACAGATTTTTTAAAGTAAAATTGTACAATTAACCTGATTTTCAAAAATGTCTTCTTGCATTTCCTTCCACATTTCTAGCTCAAGTGCTGCTTTGTATTCTAATGTTTCCCGAGGCTCTGTTTGGATCTCTGAAGGACAAGGTGCCGGAGGAAGAGAAGATGGCTTCTGCTGCACAGCAGACAAAACCTGAGACGCAGGTGAAGGCATACATTTGAGACACACTCACATACATTCATACAACAGATTACTTTAAGGAATAATTGTATAACATTTGATTACATTTACCTGAGATGAATCAGAGACAAATATCTCACGCATTTTTACCAGGCCATAATCTTCCAGAGTCACAGTGTAAGAAAGATCTACTATCCTGTTATTTGACCTACAAATGAAATAAATATTTTCAAATTCATGGAAACACTTTTATAGTATTTTCTTTTACTTGCCCTGTATTGTGTGTTGAGGCGCATGACATATATCTTGAAACTGATGCTTTTGCTGCTAAAGTTACAGCAACTTTGTAGAATTAAAACTTAATGTGTGTATAATTTTACTTGATCACAAACACCCTGATAAATGCATAACCTAATGACAAAATACCTAAGCTGCACAATCTTTGAAAAAAATTATAAAAAATTAAATTAAAAAATCTTCCTTTCCACATGTAATATTGTGCATCCTGATTATTTCCTTACTTATTATTTTATTTATAAGTAGACAGACATACAAGCATGCAGACTGACAGGTGTATTTACTTCCTATTTATCTAAAGCATTTTCCTCATAAACAGTTGAAAAATGTCCGTGTGTGTGTGTGTGTGTGTGTGTGTTTTCTTCAGTGCAGGAGCTCTAACCCAGGGCCTGACACATGCTAGCCAAGCGCTCTACCACTGAACTTTACCTCTGACCTCAAAATAGTTTTTCACTGCCTATGAAGTTATATTAATAAGTTTATGCATTAAAATATACTTAACAGTACTCTACTTTTGATTGCATACATTATCATGAGGAGTATTTGTTGGTGTACTTTTACCACTCTCAGTACTGTCTCAGAATGATTCCTACAAGGTAACTACATAATTTGGCAACACCAAGCAACTCTCCATATCATAGAACTACATGCAGCATTTATCATTAAATAATAAAATCAAGACAAAACACTGGAGGAACATAAATTCTTATCAACCAAAAAAAGTTTTCTGAATCAAATAATTTTAGTCAAATAAAACTTTAATATAATAAATGGATCTTATACTACTAGAGGCTCTTAAATCAACAACTTTTACTTTCTATTCTCCCACTCACACAAGTTTAGGAAGAAATGAATACAGTAAAATGAAGCTCCACTATATCCAAGAAAAACTCCTGAGCACATCTGAGGTTCTTATGTAGGCAAATCTCCTAAAATTTCTCTATCCATAACGCAGGGCAAAACAGGTAATATTTATAACAGGCAGCACTTAAAAAGCTTCAATTATTAATGATTTGATTAAATTCTACTATTTTATTGGAATGCCTATTCAAATATTCTATTTGCTTAAATCTACTTTGATTATATATTTAATTTTTAAAAAATCTATTTATTTGGTACAGGGTCTTGCTATGCAGTTTGGACTCCCAGTGATCCTCCTGTCCCGCCTTCCCGAGCACTGGGATTACAGGCTTGTGTTACATGCCCAGCTTTGGAGGCCAGCATGGCATCATGCAGTTCCAGGGCCTGCACAGTACCAGATCAAACCTGGGTCTTCACACTTGCCAGCCAGGTGCTTAGACTGCTATCTCCCCACTCCTGATTATATATTTATGACAACAAAAAATAATGGTAATTTTAAGAAATTTTCTTGTCAGAGGAGACAAAACAGAAAGGACTCCATTAATCAAATGTTCGATTATCCCAGACAAGTATTCCCATATCTTCCAAATGAATAAATTTTTAAAAATCTCTCAAGTCTCTGAAAGTGGCCACAAATGGAGAAGAGCATAATAACAAATTCCAATAAAATAATCAGTCTAAGATTTTTGCTGAACTTTATTTTCCTTTACAGTCTTGCTACGTTTCAAAAAGAGACAACTGGTAAATAATGTTAAACAGAATTTGAATTTTTATTAATTTTTAAATGATATGCTGGCTAAAAAAATATGAAAATTTCAAATCTTTCATTGTGGAAAAAAATTTATTTGTGGAGTTGGGGACTGAACTAGGGCTGTGTGTATGTGTAACTAAGCTTCACACCCTACCAATCATTCTTTTTTGGGAAGGTGGGGGCAATATTAGAGTTCAAACCCAGGGCCTCAGTCATACTAACAAGCACTTAACTACAGAGCTACTTCCCTAGCCCTCAATAATTCATAGTATTTTAAAACCTGCTTCTGGATGAGGATGCAGCTCTGTAGCAGAGTGTGTACCAATAGGCTCAAGGCCCTGAGGTTGATCCCTGGCACCATAAAAGAAATACAGCAGAAATTAAAAGCTGCTTCTGCTGACATCGATAACATACTTGGGCGTTAGATTCAAGATAAAAGTTAAAATATTTTTCAAGGAGAAGTCATAGCTGTCTAAACAAAAAATAATATAAAATTACATTGTAAATCTAACTTTAAACTAGAATATAAAAAATCCTGAAATTAAGAACTGTCAAGATAAAGAGAGAAAATACTTTGCAACCTGGGTAAGAATTACTACACTATACTAGCAAAGCTACTGTTCACTCTTTACTTTTGTAAAGACTCTTTACTTTTGTAAAGTAAAATGGACAATAAAGTCAACAAGTAAACAGGAGTATGGACCCCATAGGTGAAAGAAAACAGACCAGCAGAAAGAGGATATGGTCGGACCAGGTGGTGGCTCTCTAACTGGAATCGTCATATTCAAGGCAAAGACAAAACAAATTCTGTGAAATGCATTACCCTTGTGCTGCAATAACAGGCACACTTTCACTGTAAGTCTGACGCCAACACTGTTCACCATTAGAGCCTAAAAAGCGTGTTTTTTCTGAAGACAAGATGTTAGAAAGCTGGATTCTTGCGATCCCCAGGAGCAAGTCTTTACTCATTTTGTCCTTATGCCATAATTCAACCAGCAAAGGAATCCTAAGAAAAAGAGCAACATGTGTTCAATTCTATTAACTCTGAACTAAAATCTTCGCCTAAAATTTTTGAGTTCTTTCAAAGTAGTGAAAAACATATTTACCCAGAAAGTTACTGACATAAAGGCTTAATTCCACAGGTGACAAATATGAAGTACTATTACATTTTCTACATCACTTTCTAGGTAATACAGAGTACTTTAAATAGCACTATTCCCAAAAATGGTTAATTTGTAGCAACACTTCATTTTCCCTTTAAAATACATTGTGATGCTAAAGAAAGTAAAAGATTTCAGAGATAAACTTTTTACTTAAACATCTATTTCAGATAGCTAGATTAATGTTTCCAGTTTATAAAAGAAAAAACAGAATAAATATTCTTATTTATTTCCTTATATTAGGAAAGGGCAAGACCTTTTTGCAAAGCTCACTCATCACTCACAGATTACTATAACAACATTCAAGTATCCAAATTCAAGTAAATGGGTAATGAAAAACAAAAGAATCCTTAATAAAGCACATATATGTATATTAAAAGCCTACATATTACAGGTATCAATAAATCTGTGTCTTAATTCTAAAATGCCGTCATAAACTGCTATGGTTTTAAACTACATAAATTATTTTTTTAACAAAATATCAAGTTTAAGAGTTAAGAAATGAAAATACACACAGTGTATACATAACCTTAAGAAGGTATCCTGCAGCTGATGAGGCAGAGTTGCAAAATCAAATGCACAGTAAGACTGGGGGAGAAAAACTTCCATGTTTTTCCAAACTTCTACAGGAGGATTCGTCATAATAGGAGCTGCACTTCCAAAAAATGGATACGAGTACCTAGAATTCAAGAAATACAAATATGGTCTACAGATGAGACTTATAGCCAAATTTCACCCTATATCTTATATGTATGTAAAACTAAAATTTAAACAGTGGTAGTAAAATTGGCTACTAGAAAAAAAAAATCATGCACATTTACCCAATTCCTATACATCCAAGTCTTTGCAGAGAGAGTTCATGTCCCTGAATTTCAATCCCTTCCACTGTACTATAGAATCCAGTGATTACAATAACAGACTGAAGTAAGTCTTGCAAGTTAAACTTGTTCATAAACCATAAAAATCTCAAAAAATTTGTAACAGTTTACAAATCATAGTTTCATACCAACATATAGCACCATAATCTAAAATTTATCAAACTGAAAGTAAACCACTAGCATTCTTTTAAAAGGTGCCTTAAGAAAAGACTATGCAGCAACACCTGAGGCCTGGTGGTAGGGGTTGATCACAGTATTCAAGGCTGAAGGGGCCCAGGCATCAAAGAGACTGACTGGAACAGGGTGATGGTGGAAGCAGTGGGAGCTGGAACAATGGTGGCCGTGAGCCTCCTGCCCAAGGAGACTATGCTCTTCAAGTGGACATTGAGATGCTATGAACACGAATAGTATAGAAATGGACTACAGTTCTGTAAGTGGATTCTTTCTAATTCCAAATCTGCAGAACACAGAGAAATGCTGGCAATGAAAGGATTAACGCTGAAACTGAGGAAAAAGGAAGAAGCTTATGAATTGGTCCCTAGAGGCTTAAGAAATGACTTGAGTCATATGTGCTGGCATGTTTATGACCTTCTTCAAAAGTCAGACAAAAAGTATGAAGAAGCCATTAGTGCTACAGAAATGCAGTAAAATGGGATAAAGACAATTTTCAAATCTTAAGGATCTTTCCTTACTACAAATACAAATGTGAGATTGTGAGGATTACAGGGAAATGAGATTATCAATTACTTCAGCTTTGACTGGCACAGAGAGCATTATGGATCGGTTATGCTATTGCTTATTATTTATTAGAAGATTATGAAATGGCAGCAAAAATTTTAGAAGAATTTAGGAAAACACAATAGACATCCCCTACTTTTATATCAAAATTAGGTTCTTCAGGAAGATATCTGTAGAGATGCCTTGTAACACCTTTGTACCTATGAAAATCAGATTTGTGATAAACTTGCTGTACAAGAAACCAAAGAACTTCTCTGGCATTATGATGTCTGGAAGATGCTGTTGATGTTTAGAGAGGACTGATTATAAGAGAGAAACTCTGAAAACTGGGCCTATTACAAGGACTTAGAGAAGACACTGAAGCCAGCTAATATGCTCGAATGGCTAAAAATATATGAGGGAACCTAGACTAAATAGCCTAAAAGACTGGTCTCAAGAAAGCTAAACTTTTTATCTGGTGAGAAGTTTGAAGAATATATGGTAAGTTCCTAAGGATATATTTCAGCAAGGGTTGTACACCAGTCTTCAATACTTTATGGACCTTATACGAAGAAAAAAGGTGGCAATCATAGAAGAATTAGTAGTACATTATGAAACCTCTCCATAATGCTGCCATGTATTTAACCCCAATGAAGACAGAAAGGAGGAACCGCCAACCACAATACTTTGGGTCCAGCATTACTTGGTGCAACATTATGACAAAATTGTCAGCCATCTATTCTTTTGGAATGTATAAAAACTGCTAGTAAGAGTATACCTATGTTGCTAGAACTGTTTCTTGTGAAAGCTAAAATCTATAAGCTAAAATCTTTCCTCGAAGGTAATTTTATGTATAATAGACCTTTTTTCTATTTCAAGGATTTTCTTTTAAGTTTCTGCTTAGAAACATTTTATTTTTTTCACAATGGATGTAAAAGTTTTATTTATTTTAATTAATTTTATTGAGAAAGAAACAGTAATGAGATGGTTTCAAAACAGGTTAGTAGGACAGTTACAATAATTAATCTATAGCATATTTTTGTCTTCGTATTCAGAGTACAAAATGTAGACATGATATCCTGTCTAGACACTATTAGTATAAATCTTATCATTATACTAAGAGAAAGTAGCTGTATATCTATCCTATTTTGTATATACATATATTTTTTTCACTACAAAATGGACATTCATTTATATGCCCTTTTTTGTTTAGTTTTGTCAGAGATGGGTATTCAATTGCCATTCAAATATTGTAGGTGTGTGAATTCAGCAAAATAATCCAATATAGTCCAATAATCCATAATATTACTGGGTTATCTGAGGAAATAATGTCAGAAGTTGTTGACTTGAGCATTTTACAGCTCAGTATATTCATATGGCTTTACTTTTTATACCTCATGTTTACACTTTTCTGCTGGATGGTTAAGACCAAGATAAAGCAAAAAAACCTAACTTTTTATCTGAGGTCAGGCAAATCCCCTCAGGATTTACCCTGAAACCCTGTACTACAGTTTGTAGATCCTTTGTCAGTGTCAGCCATGTGGATGGGTCACGGCCATTGCTTGACCAATTTGCTCTCTGTGAAAGCCTGAGGGAATGTTTTCTCTCCACGTGACTCTCCTTAGGCACACTCTACATCATCGATCACTTTCCTCTGTGGCCCCATAATCTCAAGGATTTTAAATGTTGTAAGAAAAATGTATGACAAAAGGACACATGGAATGAAAAGGATGTTTCTTAGTCTGAAAAAAAAAAGTGCCTTACATAGATCAAAGACAGACCCAGCAACTAGTGAATTCTATGCAGAGTATTAAATGGCTGCAACTATTTATTTCCTGGTAAGAACGTTATTTCCCTTTGTCAAATGAACAACTATTCTCTTTTATATAGTAACTAATTCGTGAATCTGTCTTCCTCACTAAGTTGAGTTGTTTATGTGCCTTTGTATAGCTAAGGCCAGGCACTGCTGAAATAATGTAGGCCCTGTCTGATGACACAAATGGTCTTGATGGCAGGAAGTAAACACAAAAATTTATATTAGTGTTTTCTTTTTTGCGGAACCAGGGATTGAACTCAGGCCCTTGCCCTTGCCAGGGAAATGCTTATTCCACTGAGCCATCTCCACGGTCCCCTATATTAGTGTTTTCTAAGTAGGCTTATTTAAACCTTCTCCTCAGAGCAACAATTTTACACTTTGTTTTTGTGCTCCTGGCTAACATCTTGTCTAGATATCTGTGGCCAGATTCTCTAGTAACAGCAGAAGAGAGATAAAGGAAGGAAGGAGGAAAAGACAAACCAGAGTGAGGAATAACTATTTCTAAAATACTGAAAATACTTTGAGAAAAATTATGTCTGAGAAAGGAAATATTTTTCAGTTTTCAATTTCCAAACAAAAACATTTTAGCAATAAGTCAGTATTTAACTGTAAACTGTAGAATTTAAGCTGAGATGGCAGATCATGATTCTATGAATTTATATTCATTTTCATTGTTAAGTTACCTCTGATTCTATCCAGTATTCATACCAAAAATTAGAGGATTTGGAACTAGAAAGAAGCAAACTACTGAAAATCCACATGCCAACGTGAGTTGACTCATCACGTGAGAAGGTTTGCCTCAAACAACAGCAGGAAGCACTGTGCAGTTAATAAGACCTCTAGGAGCACCATTTCAAAGCCACAAATATCTTCTCACTTTAGGCATCACAATCCCAGACTTCAAGTCATATTCAAGAGCTGTTAATAAAAACAGAGGGGTGCAGGCACAAAAACACGTATGTGGATCAATAAAGCAGAACAGATGAAGCAGAAATAACGCCAAATATACTCAGCTATTTGATGTTCAACAGAAGGGACAAAACCATACACTGGAGGAAAGATAGGCTCTTTAACAAATGGTGCTAGGGAAACTGGTTATCCACATACAGAAGATTGAATTTAGATCTGTGTTTCTTGTTATGTATTAAAATAAAAATGGATCAAAAACATGAACACTAAAACAGAAACCATTTGTTAGAAGATCAAATAGGCAAAACTCCAGAAGAAGACATAGATATAAGAACTTTATGAAAAGAAACCAAATTGCACAAGAAGCACATCAAGAATCAACATGCAGGCTATCAGACCAAATTAAAAAACTCTGAACAGCAACAGAAACTATCAAGAGTGGAGAGACAACCTACAGAATGGAAAAAAATTTCCAGATATTCTTCAGACAAAAGACTAATATACAGAATATATAAATAAGTCAAAAAAATTAAGCCTCCTTTCCAAATAAAAAACCCAATCAAAATAGAGGTAAATGAAATTAAAAAAACCACTCACAAGGGATATAAATGACCAATAAATACATGAAAAAATATTCAACATGTCTGGCCACTAAAGAAGTGTAAATTAAAACAATACTTAGGTACCATCTTACTCCAGAAACAATGGCTACCATCAAGAAAGCAATCAATAATAACTGCTGGTTTGGCTGCAGGGATAAAGGAACTCTTGATAGTGTTGGTAGGAATGTAAGTCAGTACAAACCCTGGAGAAATTAATATAGATTCCTCAAAAAAATAAAACGAGAAATTTCACTCAACCTCACTATTCCCCTATCTTCCTGAGTTACCCACATCATATTATAGTGATGCACACCCATGCTTACAGCAGCACAATTCATACTAGCTAAGTTCTGGAAGCAGCATGTGTCCATCAACAGATGAGTGGATAAAGAAAATGCAATATTTATACACAATGGGTACGACTGCCACAAAGGATAAATTTGTGTCATTTGTAGAAAAACTGATGCACTTTGAGACCATAATTCTAAGTGAAATAAATCAGAAGAACATGTTTGTAAAAAAGGGCAGGGACCAAGAGATGGAAAGAAGGGGTGTAGAGGGGAAGGCAAGGGAATGAAAGAAAGAATTAAGACATGTTATGTACATGTATCTGTTCCACATGGTAACCATTATACACTGCAGGGCCGGGGAGATGGTTCAGTAGAATAAGTGCATGCCTGGGCACAAGGGCTTAAGTGCAATCCCCGGTTCCAGGAAAACAAACAAACAAACAAACAAACAAACAAAATTATACAGTGCATACATGTCTTTCCCCTGAAAAAAGCACTGAAAGGAAGGATTCCACTCTATCGAGAAGATGTGCTAATACTTGGTCAGCAACACTCTAATAAAAATACCACCCTAGTTAAAAACCAACAATTTGACTTTAAATGCTAATAACCACTTCAAATAAATTTAAGAGAAGGAAAAGCTAAATATTCCAAATGAATTATTTTGTTAGATTTTATATGTCAGTTACCAAGTCTATGAAAATGTAACATTACTTAAAGGTAACCACTGCATAATCATTTAACTGGTGTGTGTGTGTGTGTGTGTGTGTGTGTGCACGCACACAAAATTTTTGGCAGACTGAGATCAAATTTGCAATTCTTCTGCCTCAGTTTCCAGGTGTGTTACACCTGGCTCACATACATTTATTTATAATGAATACTGGACACATTCTATTCCAGCCCATTAAACATGGCTTTTATATTCATAGCTTTGCAGATGTCAGGAATACAGCCTCATATTATAATACAGGTTTACAGAAAAGTCAGTTACTATACACTACCTTTTTTTTAAGCTATAGGACCGCTTTCCAGAAAAACAAAACACCACAAACCTTTAAAGTTCAAGAGTCACTGCATTTGAATGGAAGCATCAATAAATTATTATAAATACCTACAATTATTACTCCAAAATAGAAAACGCACTAATCAATGCCACTTTGATTTCAATTCAAAGTCATCAGGGTACAGCCTAATCCCTTCAATCCACTGATTTACCAAAAGTTATATTTTTGGTGCCATTTTTCTCTCTTTAATTCCCTAACTAAAGGAAGCGTATTTCTCCTCAAACAAAAAAAGTCATACCTTAATATACAATTGACTGGAAAACCAAGCTCCAAGCCATGGATACTCCTTAAGTCTATGGAAAAGCAAAAGTGATGTGCCGCTGCAGGAACAGCGATCTTCTGTGCTGAAGCTGTCTCAGAAGCATTGGATGCAGCCGCTGGCTGGGCCAGTGACGCAGGTACAGAGCAACTAGTGCCTGGAATGAGCATATCACTTTCAAAAAGTTGTCAGACACTTAAAATTATCATTTTCACTTATCTACATGCAAGGAATTTAGCTTCTTTTATAAACACAGGAGCTGAGGCTAATTACTGTAGAAATGGCATGCCCAAAAGACCAAGGCTTTGACTCTCATTCTAAAGTTGTGTAAAAAGAGCAAGCTTACCCTCAACAAATACTGCAGAAACATGGAAACCACTCCAAAACTGCAGCAGCAATGGCTGGCTAACATTTCTAAGAGGAACTACATACAGCTGAGCATCTGAAAGTTCATGCTTAAGACTTACTACAGATATAATTACATCACTATTTTGTACAAAGTAGTCATTTTTTAGGTATTAAATAGATCAACATGAAGCTAAACTTGAAAAGACAGGTATTTTGCCTAACATTATCACAGACCAGAGATGTTTAGTAATTGATCCAAGTACATAGCTACTCAGTGACAGAACTAAACCTTGTTTCCAAAATTCTGATTCCAATCTACCACTATTTACTTATACTATACTAGCTGCTAATTACAAACCATTATACATTAAGTGAAAACATATTATACAACCAATCCATGCATTATCACACTGTCTTTAGAATTTAAAATAATTACCATCAGCTTATCGTAAGACACAGTTAGTAGCTCTTTCCTCTAACATGCCAGTGGATTCTTATTCAAGAGTTTAGTAGTATAAAAATCTATTTGAAAGAACCATATTTATTCTTTCCTTAATTGAGTAAACTACTATAGAGTTAAATTAGGTTACAATTATTTTAAATTTAAATGTTTTATGTCATCATACCTTCACTGGTTCTAAAAATCTCCAACTTTTACTTAGGATCCATGACAGTTCTCACAGCCATGGTTTAACTGGACAGCTACAAGATCCACTACCAGAAAGCTGTGTGACAAGAACACCTTACCTTTTCCGTGTGCTTTTGCATCCCTGTCGTACTGCAAGCTTTCAACCTCACTTTCAGTGGCACTGTCTTTGGCTGGAGATGTCTGGTTGTGAGGTGCCGCAGGGCACATGCTTGGTGATCTGGGGTCTGTAAGTGTCTTCTGTTTTATGGGGCTTAAAACGCTCTTCTTTGAAAGCTCTGGCTCATGTCCATTCTGGGTCTTTATTTCAATTAAAGACTAAAAACAATGTTTAAATGAAGTATAATTTGCACCATACTTTTCTTCATAATAAGCAAAAAGTTGGCTTTAAAAAAATGTTTCCTTTCCCTGTTTGGATATTCCTAGTCTATTTTTCTTCATAATCTGCTAAATTCTTTATAGCATGTAGGACTAGAAAAAGGAAAATAAACAGGAAGGAAAACGAACACTCAAAGCTGAGTACCAAAATGTATCCTAAGGAGTAAGAAGGAACATTTGTAAAAGTCAGGCATATATGACTCTGGGGACAGTGATTCTTACCAAGGTAGTACAATGCAATGCTGTACTCCTAAAGGGAAAAAACAGATTTTTCTTCAATCCACTTCAATCTAACTATACATACATATATAAATATTCTAAATTCTCATTTCAGTTTTTGTATTCTTTAACAGTCTACAATAGATCAATTCTTCCAAAGAACAAAATGTTAAAGCTGATTCTACAAATATACAATCAAAAAATACATTCAAATAAACAGCCATCTTTATTGAAAAAAAAAAAAAAAACAAACAAACTGCCCTAGAAAGAATATATGACTGAAGCTCTACTGAACCAAGAATCTTTTAGCTGAAGTTATACTGACCAAAAAGATACTACTCAACGCAGAGTCCCAGAAATCAGACCTAAAAGTAATTTTCTTTGCGAGAGCTGTCCTCTTGCCACAATAAATGGCTGAGTTGGGAGTGGGGAAAAGGTATTCTACTACACAAGTCTAGCTGAAAGGTTAAGAGGGCTCTGAGTATAATCACCTATGAACTACGAAGTACATGCTACGGAGTCAGGAACATACCTGTGATGCCAGCACTTGGGAGGCTGAGGCAGAAGTGCCATAAGTTTGAGGCCAGCCTGAACTTTAGAAGACCCTGTCTAAAACTATACATAAATAAAATACAGCAGAAGCCACTGTACTCTTCTAAAAGGTTCATTCAGAAAGGAAGCATTATGCAGACCACTAGTTAAGAATAATAAAAATACTCTGATGTCAGGTAACTCTTTGTAGGCTCAACTTTTTTTTTTTTCTAAGATTTGTTACAAGGTCTCACTATGCAGCTTGGACTCCTAGTGGTCTTCCTGTTTTCAGCCTCCTCAGGGCTGGGACTACAGGTGTGCACCACCAAGCCCAGACTCATTCACTGGGTGTGGGGCCAGCGAAGCATGCGGGACTGGGGATCGAACCCTGGTCCCTGCGCTTGCCAAAGCAGGTGCTTAGTCTGCTGAGCTATTTCACTGGTGAGAGAGCTCAACTTTTGTTACTCATGAGTGACACTGGAGAAGCTGGAGGAACGCAGAGGGGTCACGACTTGCCTGGCAGTCGACGCCTTCTCTCTGCAGAGCCACAGACACTCCCACAGTTGGGGCTAGCTCTAGAGGAACAGGTGCAAGCTTCTGTTTGGCTCTGTTTGGAGGGTCAAGGATGAAAGCACCCTCAACTGTGACTGGGTGCTGGTTGATTTCTGTACTGCCCCTTTTCAGTAGGCCACTTAAAGGTATTTCTGTACTTCCAAGTGACTGGTCTCCACAACACAGATGGATCTAATTTGAAAGGGAAAAACAAAATGCAGCTTTCTTTTGCTAAATACCACAAACTTAACAAGTTACAAAATGACTCATAGGATAACACAATGCAGCCAGCTCATCCACTTGCTCAAAGCAATTCTTACATAGAATTGTTAAAACCCACAATAACCCAAAATGTACTAGTAAATCAGTAGTAATTGTCATTCCTTCTTCATTCCATTTAGTAACGTGTACTTAGACTATCATCCTTGTTTTCTCTTTGCTGAGTTATGGTCATTTTAATATTTCACTGTTATTTTACCTATGCAAGCTGTATAAAAAAAGAATGTAAAAAATGTCTTAAAGACTTTTCTATTTCCATTTTAACGTTAAATGTAATTCTAAAAAATGCATTACTGGATAAGTCTAATTTCAAATTTTTTTTTAAAGCATTTTTTTTTTATTTATTAGAGAGAGAGAGAGAGAGAGAGAGAGAGAGAGAGAGAGAGAGAGAGAGGTGTGTGTGTGTGGCCAGCTCAGCCCACCAGGGGGCGGGGCTGGCTGGCATGTGGTGCTGGGGGGATTGAACCGCGGTCCCTTGATGCTTTGCTAAACTCGTTCTAAGTAGGTGCTTTAGACCACTGAGCCATCTCTCCAGCCCATAAATTCAAATTTATAGATCTCAAATAGGTTTGTTTTATTCACTCTTCCATCATCACTAGTATTTCTTTTTCTCTTATTTTTCATAGTTTTACATATATAACAGAGGGATGAGCAGTAAAAAATAAGACTACTTCTGGGATAAAAGGTACTATTAATCAATGATAACCAATCAGAAGCTCAATATTGCTGCCTTTTGAAAAGTAAAAGAAAATAAAAGACTATTTCAGTTGTGTGCTATGGAGCTATTCTTTCACCCACTGTGTAGAGTTCCTGAAAAACAACATTGTGAAAAATAGCTATCAATACATTTTTAAAAAGTATTTGCTCAAATACTTTGGACTTAGCAGAACCATTTCTAAAATTCAGTACTAAATTTTCTCAACATATTTTCTTACATTTTGCTCCCAAAATAATTGCTTGGTCTAATAACTGAGATTTTTTTTTTTTTTTTTTTTTTTTTTGCGGAACCAGGGATTGAACTCAGGCTCTTGTGCTTGCCAGGGAAGTGCTTACCACTGAGCCATCTCCCTGACTCCAAGATTTTTTTTTGAAAAAATGGCAGACCCTATAAGTTCAATCATAATTTTCACTAAGCTTTACTTTTTTTTTTTTTTTTTTTGGTACCTGGAACAGAACTCAGTACCTTGCACTTGCCAGGCAAGCACTGTGCTGCTGAGCTATATCCCTCACCCTAAGCTTTTTAAATAGAACTCAATTTAAATAGTTACCAAAAAATTCCTCAAGGTCAGGCTTTAGAAATGTGTCCTCATGTGTGATTCTAACAGCAATAAGGTACATTCTGAAATCCCAAGTATGTAATTTATGCTCCTACACTTAACCTCTGCACCAAGACCACCTTCCTGGTGGCTATCACTGTGGTCTTCGGGTATAGCCTTTTACTGTAAAGGACTGATGACTGAGGTATCTCTTTTTTCATTAACTGAGTAATCTGATCTTATGTCCTAAAATTTTGAGATAACAGTAATTCCAATGACTTAGATAATACATAAAAAAGTAACAGATATGGCAGAAAGATCTCCATTATTGAAATAAGACAGATTAACTGTCAGTTAAAACAGTTTAGTACTAAAGAAACACTTTCAGAAAACATCTTTAATAAATAACAATTTGCTGTACTACTTACCTGTAGTTTAGGCTGAAGAGCAAGGTATACACGAAGGATTTCTACACTGCTACGTATGCGAACAGATGCTCTCTCTGGCTCAAAGTTTGGGTTGATTAAATCATTGAAGGGCTCATTTGTAACATCATTTCCCAGTAAAGAATAGTAAAAGAAAAATTCAGGTTGTCTTTCTGGAAGCTTCATGGTACATGGAATTAACTGAACATTTAGGGAAAAAGGAGTATTATTTTTCTTTATCACTAAATATATGTATATCTTATTCCATAAATATTTCCTGAAGTGTTGATTTTTTTTTTTTTTTCCTAACAAATTCACCACAGGGCTGTAACTGATATCTCACCACCAGGCTTCTTGAAACATTAGTACTGTGTACGCATGACTGTTCCATTGGGTGGATTTTATTAATTTTATTAGTAAAAAGGCCAATAAAAGTGATTAGAACTGTTTGTTCCACCAGCAGTACAAGGTAAGCAATGGAAGTCACTTGTGCCCCACTTATGGTTCTAATGAGTGGGAATATGTTAAGTCTTAAAATTAACCACTCAGCCCAGCTATTGTGACCAAGGAAGGAGAATAACCATGAGTTCGAGGACAGCCTAAGCTACACAGTGAGCTAAAAGCCAGCCTAACTATACAGTGAGACCTTGTCTCAAAAACAAAAACAAACTATCCACTCAAAATTTGTAAATCTCTGCCAAACTACTAAATTACCAGCTCAGTATTTCTTAAAGGATCACCTTCAAAAAGCATAGAGACTAAAAGACTTTTAACAGGTTACAATGTTTTAAAGTTTTCATTTCGCCTAAAGAATCCATCAATGAATGAGTGAACGTTCTTTTTAGAAGGGTCAAACATTTTAAACTCAGCTTTCCTCTTCACACGTATTTCATTTCATCCTTATTCTATCATAAAGGCCCCATCCTACAAGAAAATGTTTAAAAAACCTTAATTTAGGCTATTTTTTCTTCTTTTACCACTCCATCCTAATCCAGGCTACCTACAATAAACATCTTACTTTATATCTTTAATCAAAAAAACTTAGATATTTGTGATTAATAGCTGTAAAAAAATGTCTTTTTACACTAGAAGTGTTACTTCTCAGAGTTGCCAGTTGTGTGGACAGGTAGGACTAAACGATGGGATTCTTGTCCTATAAAACAGAAAATATCTCCTAATAGACCCTCAATGTTTAAACATTTAATGTGCCTGTCAATAGGAATTGGCTTGAATATAGTTAGTTATCATCCAGTATCATTGCTAAATATTGATATGCTGACATGAAAGTTACCTAAGATACAATGTTAGGTTAAAAAAAAAGCTATAGTAAAACTTAAAATAAATGCAATTACTTAGTTTATAATAGCATACTATCAGACACATAATATTAAAAAGTGTAAATTATTGTTTTAATCTTAAACTTTGAATGTACCTGTTAAATTGAGTAGTTTTAATCAGGGCATATATATCTATAAAGCTATAAATTCTGGAGTTAGACTCCAGCTCTAATCCTGATAGCATCAATGAAATGTGAAATCTTTGAAAAATAACTTCATTGCTCTATGCTCCAATTCACTTCAGAGTATAAGAAGTGTTAAAAGAGAAAATGCTTGTTCCATACTACGATAGTGTCAATCAGAGTTAGCTGTTGCAATGTGAGGATGAAAAAATTTCAAAGCAGAAAATGTATTACGTTTAACAAGGACAAATTCAGAAGGTAATTAGAAGAGACTTGCATATTTTTAAACTTCTATAATCAGAAAGCTATAAAAATATTAACTAATAAAAGTTGTCCTTATATATTTCACAACTGTCACTATAGCAAGATATCCTTTTTAAGACCTTTTATTTCTGGGCATAGTGGCTTACACCTATAATCTTAGCACTCAGGAGGCCTTGGAAGGAGGACCAAGAGGGCAGCTGAGCCTCCACAGTGAGAACTTGTCTCAAAACAAAAACAAACGAAACAAAAACCAAATACTTCTTTATTAGCCCAGAATTTAGAGATACCACAGCTTCTTTTATTTCCTTAATTTCCAATATTTAAGAAAAGGAGGAACATAATCTCTAGTATTTTTGCTCCAATGCATCCTTCTAATCTAAGTCACTGATCTGCATATAAAAATGTATGTTGGCATATTGTCTTTGCCTATGTTGAGAAGAAAGAATAGGAAGTGGAGAGCAAAACTAGGTGGACAGTTTCACTCTGAACCAAGACAATGTAACCAGTCAACTGTAATGTAAGCAGTCCCAGTTCTATTTTCTTCCTTCTGCTTTCAGGTGCAGGATACCACAAATCTACCTTTAATCTCTACAGTTTTTTTGCCTATTCAGAATATTTTAAATTTATAAAGTGAACCACACAATATGTGGCCTTTTATGTCTGACTTTTTGCACTCATCATGTTTTCAATACTAATCTATGTGTAGCACATATCAGTAATTCATTCCTTTTAGAGCTGAGTAACATTTCATAGTACGTATATGCCACATTTTTTTCTTCCATTCTCTGCTGATGGGTATCTGAGTAATTTCCACTACGAATAATGGTGTTTTGAATATTCAATGCAGCTATTTGTTTGATGCCTATTTTCAGCATTTTGGGGTGCATAATCATAATTGGAATTGCTGGGTCATGTGTTTAACATTTTGAGAACCTGTCTGGCTTTAGTTTTTATAGAGAGCAACTTGCCAGATCCTCCCCACTTCTCTCTCTTTCTCTACTTGTGTATTTGTAGTAATTACACTGAAGAGTAATTTGTCCCAGTAAGTCACTTAGTATCACTAAAAACTGTGTAACTATATTAGTTTTATTTGTGGACTAGATAGGTCAATTATGCACAAGTTATGCACAGTAAGTTTGTACCATCCATTTGTAGCTTCTTACATAGAAACCACATGGTACCACAGCAGTATCATGACTAGACTTACAATAATCAAACCTCAAACAGGCAAGAAACTTGCCTAAATTAAAGGAGCTAGTAAATATTGAGAATGAGATTCCCACTTAAATCTGTCTTGACCTAAATCCTGAAAAGACATGAGAGCAAAATATAGAACAATAAGGTGAGAAAAGTAACCATATAGTCAGAAATACTTGGGCCATTTACTAGCTATAAAATCTGCCTAAGATTGGGCTACCTCATCTCTAAAATGAAAATAATAGTCCTCTAAGGTTGTGGTAGAACTGTATGCAATATATGCCAAACATTACAAGGTCTATAATACAGCACAGCACAGAGTAAGTGAGCAATAAATGTCCACTGTTAGGCCTCATCATGGAGGCAAGAAATAAAAGGGCAATTCACATTAGTGCACAGATATGTTTACACAGTAAGAACACAGGCAACTCCGGGTCATCTGACATGTGGTAGTAGTCTGAGGTGGCTAATAAAAAGACAACTTTCTCAACAACTTTTAGGGTAGCATATTAAGCTGAGGCAATTCACAAGTAGAGATTTATAAAGAGAAGAAAAAGAAATTGGTGGGGAGAGAGAAAAATACACCTGTTAACAAGGAAATGACAGTACTGAAAGAAAAAGAATGGGTAAGCATCCAAAGAAAGAATATATACATTATATATATGAATGTACATATTATATATGTAAATATATGTGTTATATTTATATATATATATATAAATAATCTATATATCCATCCTTTTTTGTAGTGGTCATGAGTACTGTGACAAAGTAAATGCTTCCCAAGGAAAATTTTACCTGAGAAATCTTGAAAGTCAAATAAAAATATAGTCATTGATTGTACATTTCTCTCATGAATGCGGCTTATATGGGAATTCTGTGTCTCTAAGAAAGTGACTAATCTAATAAAAATTTGAGCTATAAACCATGTAATCTATTTTTTAAAAATATTAATTTCATCTACTACAGGCCCACACAATGTCAAGAACAGTGGACTTAATCTTGAGATAGACAAAAGAGCTATTTTTTATATTGTACACCACTGGGAAGAGTCAATCTAACAGGAGTGCCCTCAAATGTACACACGCAAGGCCCTGACAAGGTTTTTACCCAATGCACTTTGCAGGGATGTTTAGACAGTTGGTCATCCTGAGAAATTAGATAACATGTTTCCTCAGACAAAGAGCAGGACTACTTACTGATGAAAGTGATACATTACCCAAATTAATTTTCCTCATCTGTGAAAAAAGCCATTTTATGCCCCTCTGTGCAGTCTCTGTGGGACTTGGAGCAAGGAAAACTGAAAAAAATATACTGATATTTATCTTGTCTGTTAAGCTGAGACTAAAAGTCCTCTCAGTGTAAGAACCTCAGAACAATGCAGAACAATGCAGGCTAATTTCCTAGTATTTTTTTAAAAAGGTAAAATATAAGCATAGATCCAACAGTATGAACAAAATGTTCTTACAATTGCAAATTTCTTCAGAAAGTACATGTAAAAAAGCAAATTCAAAAAATTCTTTCATTAGTCCTTCAATGCCACATGATACAAGGATATATATATTTATTGAATGGTTATAATAATATTTATGGATGGTTGTTTTCCTAAATCCTGAAGTTTATTCTTTCACTACCAAGATACTGAAATCCAGTCTCTTACTAAAGCTAGGATGCTTCCTTTATATGAAAGAAAATATTTTTGAGTGCATTTTCTAAAAAAGTCTGCTTCCCAGAGAGCTAGCTCAGTAGAATATGCACTTGCCTGGCAAGCGCAGGGTCCCTACTTCAATCCGCAAAAAACAAAACAAAACAAAACAAAACAAAACACCACAAAAAAAAAAAGAAAATTAAAAAAAAAGGCCTGCTTGCAAATAATTTCAATATCTAAAAAGTAGTATTTATAAAATAAGATGCTTTTAAATCCTTCATGAACAACTAATCTCAGGGAATGTCTCACCTGCTCCAACTGGGTGGCAAATGCTATGGTCACTGACAGAATGAAGGAGTCAGTACAATACTCTGCTGGTCCAATCTGATGATAGCCTCCTTCTTCATTTAGCACAGCTACAATGTCCTTTGGGTCAAGTCCAGGAAGGCTGGCAGGTACTTTACATAGAAAAACACAATTATATTATAGTTTGCATACATTACTAGACGATTTTAAAGACACGTATTTTAAATTTGTTTGGTAACATTTGTGGATATAATTAATATCTCAAAAGGTTTCCTTCAACTTCTTACTCTCCAAAGAAACTTTCTTTTACCTTATTCTATGTGTATGTAAGAACCAGCACATAATATTTTCAAATTAATGCATCATACAGGTAAGGTAACAAACTTAAGTTTCTTAGTGAACCTAAACTGGGAGGTGACAAGTAATGGAGAAGATGACTGCCCAGAGAACAGTGGAGTGAAAGTGTGTTCTGGACAAGGGAAGAACATATACAGACAGAGAAGTACTGAAAATAAATGGAAAAGCCACACAGGTGTGGTCTGCTGGATCAGAGTGGGGACGGCCCTACAGACGTGTGTGGCTGGAGAGATAAACATGCTGTATCAGGAAGGGGCTGCCCGAATGCTGCAATGCCTGGACAGGTTTTTAAGGATAAGGGAAATACCATGAAACAACTGAGAATTAATGAATATAATCAAGTAAGTTTCAGTATGAAAAGACTAGACAGGAAGAAGGGTTTTCAACTGCTTAAAATATATACACCCTAAAATAACAGATATCATCCAGTTTGGGGAGGAAATGCACAAGTGGACACTCTCGAATAGTACATACTAGTAAAGTTCTGTCCATCCATATCATATAAACAAGTAATTCTTCTTCTAGAAGTTAATTAAAAGAGATGTTCTTAACATAGTATTGGCTAAAATAATATAAGTGGTAAGGACACAAATATTTAAGTCACACAGGCCCATTTATCAGTCCCAGTTGCCTTTAGTTATATCAAAAAACTGTTTTCCTCTACCATCCATTTTTTTTCTTTTTCAAAACTTTTATGTGGCTGTTGAGAAAACCAAATTAAACACTACAAGTAAAACAGTTAGTGCAGTATCTGATAAATTACTTTAATAAAGGCATCTATTAAGTAATAATTATAAGAGGTTCTCATGGTCAGGAAGGAGTTATAGATATGCAAGAGAGAAAACTAGCAATAAATCTTGTGCATGAATGGAACTGAAAGTATCAGTGTAAATACATGATGTTTCAAATCATATGGAAAATACAGACAGAAAGTTGTATATGTGCTATGTTTAAGTATGTCTCCTTCAAAACTCAGGAGTTGAAATGGATGGCCAATGATGGTATTCAGAGGTGAGGCTATTAATAACAGGTGATGCAGTGAGGAAAGCACCTCCTGTGAATGATGAGTTGCCCCTACAAAAGAGCTTGACAGAGTAAAATCCTTTCTTTCTCTTTGGAAACAGAAGGGCCTGATTCTAGACTTTCCATCCTCCAAGAGTGTAAGAAATTTCTGATCTTTATAAACAACAGTTAGTGATATGCTATTACAGCAGCAAAAAATGGGTTTTCTCTCTCTCTCTCTCTCTCTCTCTCTCTATATATATATATATATATATATATATATATATATGGATGATTGACTAAATCCAGGACTAAGACTGGGAAAGATGAGTTGAAAATATTTTTTCGTGTCACAAAACAAGCTCAAGGAAATACAAGATAGTAAAAAGGAAACTGAGACATCTTGAAAGGGCTGCCCAAACCTGGGAAAAATGCAAATCAATATTTAAAGATTGTAAAATATGAAATAAAACCATAAATTTATACTGTTATAAATTAATAAATTGGAAGTCTATGAGGAATTAAATATTTTTCATAATATCACAATTTTGTTCCACAAAAAAAAATTAGCTACAAAAGAAAAAAGAGCAAGTTTACAGCTAAGAACACTGATACCACATCAATCATGTAATTAAAGCAAGCATCATCATCTGTAATGGGCAAATCAAACCTATGCTATCTGATAGGATGTAATAAGAATATGGCATTACATCTGTATACTCTTCCAAAGATTCACAACCTAAATCTCAACTCAGACAAGTCCAAGTCAAGAGGTTTTCTAGCAATTAAATGGCCCATGATCTTCATGAATGCTCACCAATCTATTAGATGATAACTAAATACAATACCCAATCCTAAATTTAGTCCTTACTCTGTAAAGGACATTACCGAGATAAGCAGAAAAATAGAAACTTAGACAAACATAAACTGAGGAGCTTTGTAACCACAAGAAGGAAGAACAAGTAGAACAGCTCTACTGATTTCAGATAGAGGATACTTCAAAATAGGGAAAGTTGTCAGGGAGAAAAATGGACACTGTATGATAAAAAGGTCAATTTTCCAAGAAGATATAACAATCTTTCACATGTATACATCTAACAACACAGTCAGAATACACAAGGCAAAAATTGGTAAAGAAAAAAAATGCAAAGAAAAGCAGTTGAGTCAACTATATGAGCTCAAATCTTCCAATACTCACTGGTAGACAGATCCAAAAGGTACATCAGTAAGGATACGGTTAAACTCAACACCACCATCAATTACCTGGACAGACTACTTCGTCTACCAACAGCAGAATACACATTGTTCTTGGGTTCACATGGAGCATTCACCATGACAGATGCTGAGCAATAAAACACATCTTGAAATACTTGAATAGAAATCACACAGCACCTGCTCTCAGACTGGAACGGAATTAAACTCAAAATCAGTAACAAAAAGATGGGTAAAAAAAAAAAAAAAATTCCAAAATAATTGGAGATGAAGCAACATACATCTACTTAAATGAGTCAGAGAAATGTAAAAATATCTTAAGCCAGATAAAATTTGGTGGCCACAACTATAATCCCAGCACTCTGAGAAGCTGAGTCAGGAAAATCACAAATTCAAATCCAACATGGGGAACTTGGCAATGTAGTCAGAACCTGCCATAATGCCAAACCAAATCGAACCTCAAATGAAAACACAACTAGGCAACATTTGTGTGACGCAATGAGAACATACTTTGAGATGTGTTTATTGTTTTGAATGTATTATATAAAATCTAAATTCAACTGTCTAAGCATCCACCTTAGATATATAATTTTATATATATAAATTATACATAATTATATATTTACATATATAATTATATTTATATATATAATTATGTATTATATATTGTATTTATTTATGTTTTTATTTATTTATTGCGGTACCAGAAATCAAACTCTGGATGTTGCACTTGCCAGGCAGCTGTTTATGCCGCTGGGCTATCTCCCTGGCCCCACCTTAGAAATATTTTTTAAAAAGAAGGCAAATGAAGCCCAAAGAATATAGAAGAAAATAATAAAAATTAGAGAAGATGAATGAAATTGAAGACAGGAAATCAACTGGGGGTAAAAGAAAATCAAAAGCTATTTCTCTGAAAAGAGTCAAACAGTCTCTAGAAAGAAAGTGAGAAGACATATATTACTAGTATTAGAAATATTACTAGTATTAGAAATGAAAGAGGACAACACCCTTGCAAATCCTATGGACATTAAAGGGAATATAAAGGAGTACTGTGAACAAACCTATACCCACAAACTTAGTAACCTAGATAAAAAGGACCAAAAGTCACATAAGAAAAAAAAACAGACTTATCTGAATAGAGGTATATCTATGACAGAAATTGAAATAATAATTTTCTAAAACAGAAAACAGATTTAGATGATTTCACCAGTGAATTTTTTGAAAAATTCAAGGAAGAAATTATATCAATTCTCTATAATCTCTTTCAGGAAATAGAGACTATTTATTTATCATCACCATTATCTGAATAACAAGATAAGCCATTACAGAAAAGGAAAGAGCAAAAGAAAATACATGCTAATATCTCATGAGCACAAATACAAAATCTTCTACAAAAATATTAGCACACCAAGGGCTGGGGAGATAGCGCAAAGGGCTGAGTTCAATCCCTGGTTCCACAAAAAAAAAAAAAATGAGCACATCAAATCCAATAATGTACAAAAAGAACTATATACTCTGACCAATTGGAATTCATCCCAGGTATGCAAGACTTGTCCAACATTCAACATGCAAAAATCAATTAATTTAATGATAATATCAATAGGCTAGAGAAGAAAAATCACATGCTTGTATCTGTAGACGCAGAAAACACTTTTGATAAAATCCAACACTCATTTGTGATAATTAAAAACAAAAAACATACCTCTCAGTAAGCTAGGATTAGAAGGAAACTTTCTCAACTTAGTAAAGAATGTCTACAGAAACCTTACATGTAATATATTTATTGGGCAAAAATTCAAAAACATGTTCCTACTAAGGTCAGACATGAGATGTCCCTTCTTGTTACTCCTTTTCAATACCATACAGTAGTGTGGTAAGACAAGAAAAGGTATACAGAGCAGGAAGAGAGAAATACTGTACTATCTTTTTCAGCAGGTGACATGATTATTTATGGAGAAAATCTGTGTGTGGAAAGACTTGCAGAAAATAAGTCTTGCAGTTAATAATGATCACAGCAAAGTGACAGCATAGAAGGTTGACATTTAAAAGTCAGTAGAGCTTTCCAATGCACTACAATAAACAGAATTTTAAATAAAAATGTTACAATTGATGTTACCACCCTTCTCAAATGTAAAACTTAGATATAAATCTAATAAAATGTACACAAGATCTGAGGACTTCTAGTAAATTTGTAATAGAACAAAATTCTAACGGAATAAAAAAGTTTTAAAAGTAGAGAGGGTATGTCCATGAACAGGAAGATTCAACACGGCCAAGACATTAGTTGTTCCCAAGCTGACCTACAGATTTAATGTACTCCTAACCAAATTCTAGAAAATTATTTTTTCAGATGCTGCAAAACTGATTCAAAAGTTTATTTGTAAAGGCAAATGACCCAGAATGGCCCAATTTAACATTGAACAGATTCAAAGGACTAATATTACCTGACTTCAAGACTTATTATAAAGTTACAGCCACTAAGTAGTCAGGTGATGTTTCACAAAGGGGCATAAACAATCAACAGAAAAAAATAAGTCTTTTCAATAAATGGTACAATAACAACTTGGTGTCCATATGCCAAATGAGCAGGAAGAGAGAAATCTAGACATATTTACAACTTTCAAAAAATTAACCTAAAAGTAAAATGCAAACTCAAAAAACTCCTGAAAGAAAACTTAAGAGAACCAACAATTTTTCTTATATTCCAACAAAGGCACAACACATAATAGATAGAATTGATAAATTTCAATTTCAGGTATTGCGTCAGAGGGTGGCACCACATGTGAAGCGGAGGCACCAGGGTGCTATGCTAGGAGCCACGTGGCTGGCAGTGAAGATGATGAAGTTGGCTCTAGCTCAGCCATGGCACATGGTCCCAAGAAGCATCTGAAGTGAGTGGCAGCTCCAAAGCATTGGATGCTGGGTAAACTGACCAGTTTGTTTGCTTCTTGTCCATCCACCAGTCCCCATAAGCTAAAAGAATGTCTGCTTCTCATCTTCCTAAGGAACAGACTCAATCATGCTCTGACAGGAGATAAGTACAGAAGATTTGCATGCAGTGCTTCATTAAGATTGATGGCAAAGTCCAAACTGATATAACCTATCCTGCTGGATTTATTGATGTCATCAGCAATGACAAGACAGGAAAGCATTTCCATCTGATCTACGACACCAAGGGTTGCTTTGCTATTCATCAAATTACACCTGAGGAAGCCAAGTACAAGTTGTGCAAAGTGAGGAAGATCTTTGTGGGCACAAAAGGGATCCTTCACCTGGTGACCCACGATGCTCACACCATTCGCTGCCCTGACCCCCTCATCACAATGACACCATCCAGACTGACTTAGGGTCTGGCAATATGACTGATTTAATCAAGTTTGACACTGGTACCCCATGTATGATGACTGGAGGTGCTAACTTGGGAAGAATTGGAGTGATCACCAACAGAGAGAAGCACCCCGGCTCTTTTGATGTGGTTCATGTGAAAGATGCCAACAGCAACACTTTGCCCCCCCCCCCCCCAACATCTTTGTCATTGGCAAAGGCAGCCAGTGTGGATTTCTCTTCTACAAGCAAAAGGAATCTGCCTCACCACTGCTGGAAAGACATAGAAGCTGGCAGCCAAACAGAGCAGTGGGTGAAATGGTTTCTAATCACATGTTTCAGAGGTCTTTGTTTAATTAAAGATAATACAGTGTGATTTAAAACTTTTTTTCAATAAAATTTAAAAGGTCTGTGAAAGCCAATGTCATGAAACAAACAAGCTACAATCTGGGAAAACGTATTTGTAAAAAAGCACACTCGATAAAAGATTGTTATTCAAATTGACAGAGAACCCAGAAAAAATAAAAAAACAAACAATCCAATTAAAAACTAGGTCAAAGACTCAAACAGACACCTTATCAAAGAAGATGTGGCAGATAAACATATGTAAATACATTGTGTCACTGAGGAATTTCAAAATTAGAACAATGAAATACTACTACATAACTACTAAGATGGCTAAAACCTAACACACTGACAACATCAAATGCTCATGACACTATGCACACTAAGTGCTAAGCAACAGGAATCCTCATTTACTACCACTGGTAATCTAAAATAGTATAGCCATGTTGTAAGTAGTCTGCAGACATCTTACAAAACTAAACACACTCTAACCACAAAATCTAGCAATCACACTCCTTGGTTTTACTCCAACTCAAAACTTACATTCACACAAAAACTTGCACACAGATGTTTACTACAGCTTTATTATTGATGTCAGAAATTCAAAGGAACCAAGATTTTCTTTAGTAGATGAAAGGGTAAACAAATTGTGGTACATCCAGATGAGGCAATATTATTCAGCACTAAAAAGGAATGAGCTATGAAGCCATGCACAGATGTAGAGGAACCTTAAGTGCATCAGATGAAAGACATCTGAAAAGACTACACAGTGTATACATCCAACTAGATGACATTCTAGAGGCAGGGAAAGAAATAGGAAGGTTTCACTAAAGTACCAAACACAGAACAGCATATCTTTTTGAAGGCATTCTTAGTCATTCTAGAAGTAAATCTATGTAAGCAGCAATCCTTAAAAATACAAATTTTCTTTGTTCTATTATATATCAAATGAGATTTTCCTACTGCTAAGAATTATAAATAAGAGCTACAGCAACACGTACTGCCCGTGTAACAATGTCACAATATTTGTCTGACGCACTACAGTAAAATCAGTTTACATTCCTGCAGCTATCTCCTCCCTCCCAAAGTGCTCCTCCACAGATAATTCTCAGAAACCATCTTTCAAGATGATGCACAAACCTTTTCCATCTCGAGGCGGGGCTCCCTTTGCTTTAAAACTATCCACTGGTGCCTTTGTATCTGTCTCCAAGGTGATGCTTATCTGTATCTCAGACTTGAACTTGGTGTATTTGTTACTCAGTAACTGGTGCCACTTTGGTGCCTAGAGAATAACAACAATGCAACAACTTAATAGTAGGCAAAGCCAGGGCACTGGGGCACATGCCTGTAATTCCAGCATTTGAGGCTGAGTCAGGAGGATCACCATTAGTTTAAGGCCAGTCTGAACTACATAGTGAGATGCTGGCACAAAAGAACAAATAAAGAAACCTGAAAAACAGATTTTTAAATATTTACAGATTTTTTATTTTCCTATTACACGATCCAGAAAAATAGATTTTTCCATTCATAGAGAATGAATTTATTTTAAATTTCAAATATTCTTCTAGCCAATGTCAAATTTGTCTGCTAGCAAACCAAGAAAAGTAAAACATTTTGGCTTTCCAAAAATAAATGGAATTTTGAATTATTCTCCTGAACTTTGATTACAGAGATGATGACAGACTGTCCTTAGAAGACTACAAAAAGGGACAAGGCAGGTCAAGAGCACGCACCGGCTGCACCTTTCCCTTAGACACGCTTCTCCTCAGCGACCCACCTGTGCAACACGGCAGCTGCACGAGTGCCCTCTGGATACCTGCACGCTACAGGAGACAAGCTGAGAAAGGCAAATGGAAGGGATTCAAGCAGGGCTTAGGGTCTAAGACGAACAAGGAAAATCTTCTTCAGGGTACGGTCTAAGAGCAGAGAGCCAATGAATACCCACAAAGAACAAGTTGTCTTTTATTTTTTTTTTAAACATTTATTTATTTATTTATTTATTTATATGTGTGTGTGTGTGTGTGTGTGTGTGTGGCCAGCTCAGCCCACCAGAGGGTGGGGCTGGCTGGCATGTGGTGCTGGGGGATTGAACCGCGATCCCTGTGCATTGCCAAGCTTGTTTCAAGTAGGTGCTTTAGACCACTGAGCCATCTCTCCAGCCCCACAAGTTGTCTTTTAAAGTATTCAGAAATTTTAGCTCCTTTTGAATATTCCAGTTTGGGGCCAATTTACTTGTAAATATCACTGTACTCAGCAATAAAACTGTTAATAGATAAATTAGGTTTCCTCTGAAGAAAAACAATTCTAATGAATGGAGAGGGGGGAAAATGAAGGCATTTAAAACAGAGGATTTTGTTTAAACAGGGGACGGAACCTGCACCTTAACATTGAGCTACAATATCCTTCCTTTTAATTTTTGTTTGTTTTGTGGTTCTGGGGATTGAACTCAGGACCCTGCACTTGCCAGGTAGGCACTTATTCTACTGAGCTATCTCCCCCGTCCCTCATTCCTTTTACTTTTGAGACAGTGTCTCACCCAGTTGGAAAGGCTGGGCTGGAACTTACAATCTTTCTGCCTCAGTCTTCCACAGTCCTGGGATTATAGACAAGAGCTACTACACCAAGACTACTTTTTCTTTTTCTTTTATGTATTTGGTATAGGGTCTCACTAGGAAGTTTGGACTCATAGTGATCCTCCTGTTTTCAGGCTCCCTAGCACTGGGATTAAAGGTATGTGCTACCACACCCAGTCTTGGTGGCTGGCTCAGCATGCTGTAGGGTGAAGCTGGTGCAGCATGTGGTGCTAGCGTTCGAACCTTGGTCTCTGTGCTTGCCTAAGCAAGTGCTTAGTTCACTGAGCTCTCTCACCAGCCCCTGACTACTTTTTCAATGTTTCACTCTTTTTCGTTTTTTAAGAAAAAGTACTGCAACAAAATAAAAGCATTAAGAAAAACTGAAAGCTTTCTAAAGTCAATCACATACAAAATGTTGGAGAATACTTAAAAAGATCTAAGAAGCATGTTCAATAATAAAAAGCATAAACAGGGGAATGAGGACCCTTAGTTCTTTTCTTTGTGGAAAGAAGGTATTGACTATAAAATAATAATAAATGTAAGACTACATGTATCTCAGTCAGTTCACTTATTCTAACTTAGAGCAAGTTACCTGACTACTCAGGGCTCAAGTTCTTTGTCTAAACAAGAGAAGTAACAGCAATGTTATAGGGTTATTGTGATGTTTAAATGAGTTATTGCTGCAAAGTACTATGAAAATTTCCTGGCACATTAAAAAGCACTCAACATTATTATTACTTTTATTATTATTATATAAGAAACTTAAGGACTATGTATTTAGAGCAAATTGAAAGAGATTAATAAAGATGCTAATGTAAGCTGAAAACTTAAATGAAACATGGTATTTTATAAGCAGCACTCCTCCCCCTGATATAATCTGAAAGATGAAAGGAGAATAAACAAGCTAAGAGGTTATTATGACAGCCAAAGAAAGAAACAACTGAGCTTAGGTCAGGCTGCAGTAGTGAAAATACAAAATAGACCAAAGGGGAAAACATACAGCAGCAGGCAACTACAAAGGGTGGCATGAGAAAGCATCATGGAACTTGATTTCTAGTTCATATATAACTGGAAGGAGAGTGGTGAACATGTACTGAAGCAAGAAGCCTGAAGACTGGCTGGGGGACAAAAGCTCAGGAGGTGAAAACATTATATTTATGGCACTAACTACTTCAATACATGCTTGGGCTCAAAAATAAGCTTTGGGAAAAATAGTTCAAAGGAATGATTAAAAGGTCAGACTTTTCTAAAGCAAAGTCATAAACTAAAATGTAAGTGTCATACTATATCACACTATATTAGAACCCATGACCTATGTCATTATGTAAGAACTGTCCTCCTACTTCTGAAGTGATCTATGTCAGGTTCTGGCATAGCACACATTAAAAGTAGTGATCATTAACAAAAAATCAGAAGGACAATACCTGCTTTGTTTCTTGGGCACTTCTTAAGTCCAAAACAATATAACCTACAGTTTCCTTGGCTGAAGATACAGGATCCAAGGCAAAACACTGGAGTTTGATAGGAGTGCGCTGTAGTCTGTAACAACAATTTATACGATAAATAAATTTTCTTATATTGCACTGAATTTCTATTATCCTTGACAGAATTGCCTATAATTTATTATCACAATAATTGTAATTTTGTTGGATTAACTAACTGAAGAGTTTCTATATCTACTTGTATACATATACAAAACATCACAATTTAGTCTTCAGGTAAGAGGTTATCATCTAAGTCAATGTTTCTTAAACTTTACAATACACAGAGCCACCTTAAAGCCAAGAATTATCATGAATCTTTATGATTCAAAACTAGCTTTCTTAAATTGTACTGTTACAGAAAATATTATAGCTTTTTGTAGCTATAAGAATAATAAACAGGATATAAACACAATAAAGTCTAACTAATAAAATTTAAATTATTGGGGCCAGAGAGAGAGCTCAGGAGAGAGTAAGTGTTTGTCTGGCAAGTGCAAGGGCCTGAGTTCAATCCCCGGCTCCGGAAAAAAAAAAAAAAAAACAACTTTAAATTACTAAACTACTATAATTCATGGCAATGCTCTGTAGGGTGAGACTGACTAGCATAACATGGGCTCTTTTTTGTCTGGAAACCACTGAGCTGAATAGACTTTGTCATCAATTTTACCTAGTGCAATTACTATTTAACTGCGTTTAGCATAAAATTCGCTTTTTTAATTTTTATATTTAGTTCAGGGTCTACAGGGTCTCAGTATACAGATTGGACTTGTAGTAATCCTCCTGTTTTTAGCCTCCCAAGCACTGGGATTATAGGTGTGCACCACTATGCTCAGTCTCAGTCACCGTCTCAGCACCTAAGCAGGTGCTTTAGTCCCCTGAGCTACCTGACCAGCCCTAAAACTCGTTTTTAAATTCAATTTATTTGTGTTTTCTCAGCCTACAGCAATCAAAGTGTACCACTTAGCACTAACAACTGCAACAGAACAGAATTAGATGCAAGCCCTGACATCACACAGTGCACTGTACCTACTCAGGTATTCCAGACTCTACTTCTGATGTTCTCTAAGAATTTCATAACCCTTTAAATAAATACACAGACTCATATAGCAGTAGCAAATCAGTTTCTCCCTGCTTTCCTTACTCTGTTAACTTTCTATTTTTATTTGATTTAGTACTGAGAAAGAGTAAGTACTGAAGTGATTATGTTTACCAGGAGCTACATTTTCAATCCTTAACAAAAATACTGCTATTCTTAACTGTATCTGGTTATAGAGTTCATGAAAAAAACAAGATGCTATCACTTTAATTAGAAAGTATCTCATATAATTGTTTTTGTTGGATACTTCTGTATTTCCTGGGCAAACCAAATAATCATATAATAAATTAATAGAGATTACGATGACTTCCAACCTCTATTTAGAAAGCATCATCAAGGTACTTTTAGAGTATCTGTTTCCTCACAACAACAACAAAAAGTTAATTTAATGAAGTGGTTGAAAGCTTTTAGACTCAGACTGGAGCTAGACTTGGCTTGGATCTACCACCACTATCCAATGAACATACTTAGAGCAATTTATCAAGCTATTTAACCTCTCAGCACTGTTTCCTCATCCTTAATAGGAGAGAAATTATAATACTAACTGTTCTGACGTTTAAATGAGTTACTACAAAGTACAATGACTAAAAATTTCCTAGCACATTAAAAAACACTAAAAATTATGATTATAGCTATAATGTAATGAGGTAAACCTTGTAAAAGCCTAAAAAAGAGACCAATAAAAGGGGTCTAAATTGAAAACAGTAGTCACCTGTGCTGATGAAGTGCTTTCCTATCAATTTCCCAGGCTAACTCAGTGGCAAATTCTGGCTGGTTAGTATGGTCCACAGGATCAGTAGCCAACTGTTCTCCATCAAATTTTGCTTCTACTATAAGCATATGCTTTGGACGTTTAGGGAAATGGCGACCTGAGGAAACAAAGACTATAGCTTAATTGCAAGTGTATAAAAATCAAACAGGATCATCCAGCACATGTCTTAAAAACCGATACATATTTTTTTGGTGTTTTCTTTTAATTAATTTTATTGAGAAACAAATAGCAATGAGACAGTTTCAAAAGAGATTAGTAGGACAGTTATAGTATTAATACTGCATATTGTTGCCTTCGTAGTAGTTATTCATAGTACAAGATGCAGACATGAAATCTTGTCCAAACACTATCAGTATAAATCTTGTTCTCATTGAATTAAGAGAAAGTAGTTGTATATCTATACTATTTTGTATATACAGATACAAAATGGTCCATTTATATCTCCCTTTTTTTGTTTAGTTTTGTCAGAGATGGGTATTCAATTGCCATTTAAATACTGTAGGTATGTGAATTCTGCAAAATAATCCAATATAGTCCAGTAGTCCATAATAGTAGTGGGTTATCCATAGGACTGTCAATGTCAGAAGTTGTTGACTTGAGCCTTTTACAGCTCAGCATATTAATATGGCTTTACTTTTTTTTTGGGGGGGGGGTCAAACAGTGTTTATTGAATGTAAAGCAACCCAGCCCCATGGGGAAGAAAATTCCACGAAGAACAGAATAATACAGATTAAATATCTACTTGTGCATTCACTCTTTTACACACACATCACACATACACACAATCACACACACATATACATATCCAAGCTCCAACAGTGACAAACACCTGCTTCCCCCCAACCTGAGTGACAGTTGGCAGAAGGTGGTTTCAGAGTGGGGCTTCAGGATGGGTCCTAATAGCAGCAGTCTTCTCCCTCCCTACCCCTTGCCCTGTCTCAAGAGGTAAAAGGGAGCTGGTGGGGTTCCTAAGAGGTAGTTGGCAACTCTTCCCCACTCTGCCTCAGACGCTTCTTGGCTCGGATCTCATTCATGGCCTCTTCAATGGAACGTGTATCCCTCTTGTTGGCCACAGGCACACAGCCATAGGTCTTCTTGGCCTGTAGCATGTGGGCCGCATCCGTAGCTGCCCCCTTGTCAATAAGGTGGCTATACTTGTCCTTGTAGTCACTGGCAGGGCTCACCACCACAGGTCCTTGCTGGGCCGCCTCCTCTTCCTGCTGCTAGGCCAGCTCCTTTAGCTTTCGCTTCTCCTCAGCCCTCTGGGGATCCCACTCCTCTCCATGGCGGTATGATTCCAGCTCTTCATCTGAGGGTGCAAACTCCTTTCTGAAGATCATGACATAGCGACAGTCATCATCTTCCCCGAACGAGAAGGATGTTAGGCCCGCTACTTCCACCACATCAGGTAGTATGCTCCTGTCTAGCTTGTTCATAGGCTGAAACTTTTTCTTGATCTGCCCACTGTCTTGGATGAAATCTGATACTTCTTTCTCCACCCTTTTACGAAATTCTATTTTCTGTTGTTTCTCTTGCTCTTGTAGTTTCGTCAGATGGGTAGCTTGCTCTCGGGCCTTGCACCGCGTCTCCTGGTCACCGAGGCTGGGTGGCTTCTCCATGGAGCTTAGGATGGAGCCCAGTAGGATGGAGCCCACTCGCCATCTTGGGAGTGACTCTGGCTTTACTTTTTGTACCTCATGTTTATACTTTTCTGCTGGATGGTTTAGATCAAGATAAAGCAAGACCTATATAACAAGATATGTAACTTTTGTATCTGCCAAGGTCAGTCAAATCCCCTCAGGATTTACTCTGAAACTCTGAATGGCAGTTTGTAGATCCTCTGTCAGTGTCAGCCATGTGGATGAGTCATGGCCACTGCTTGACCAATTTGTTCTCTGTGAAAGTCTGAAAGAATGTTTTCTCTCCATGTGACTCTCCTTAGGCACACTCTACATTCTCGATCACTTTTCTCTGTGGCCACATAATCTCCTTGATCAGAAAATCTGGGCCACAAATGAGTTACAGGCTGTTACAGTACAGGTTCTCCTATTTCCTGAGTCCTCACTGACCTTGAAAGGCGAGGGCCAAAATGTTGGCTGTCCTTGCAGCCCTTCTTTTCCTCTAATTTTTGGTCTGCAAACTTAGGTTGTTAACCCTCCAGAAGAGAAGCTTAATGATATTATTACCCTATAACCCAGGCAATTGAGCTTAACCTACTATCTGTCTGAATATCAAACATCTTAGATATAACATGGAACAGGTATTTTCCATCAAGTATTAAGAGATAATGACACCATACATTGCATGAACTAACATATGCTCACACACTCAGCTTTATGATTCATAAAAAACAAGAACCAAATTAAAAGTTATAACTTATGACAGTGCTTCTCAAGTATGAATGTCAACACAAATCGTCCAGGAATCCTGTTCAAATGTGGGTTCTGGTCCTACTTACTGGTCTAACATAGGCCCAAGGCCCTGCATTTCTAAAAATATCTCAGGTTATATCAATGCTCCTGTCCTTGGTTCTTAATTTTAAGTAGCAATGATCACAATAACATCTGAAATTAAGAGTGAAAAATGGACTACTTCAGTATGAGTACTGACATAGTGATGGAATTTCAGCTACTGTTTTTTTTTTTTTTTGATTTTTTTTTTTTTCAAATTGGTAGGACAGTTTCAATAATTAACACATTGCATACATTCTTCCTAATGGTTAATTGCTGTACAAGATGTGGACATGATATCCTATTTACAAACACCATTAGAACAAATCACTCTATTCATTTACTATTTTGTATATACAGATACAAAATGGTCCATTTATATCTCCCTTTTTTTGTTTAGTTCCATTATTTGAATATTATAGGTGTGTTAACTCAGCAAAATATTCTGAAAGAGTCCAGTAGTCCATAATAGTATTGGGTCTTCCGCTTCACTGGCAATGTCAGAAATTGTTGACCTGAGTCCCCTACAGCTCAACGTAACAGCATGGCTTTACTTCTTATATATCATTTTTACACTTTTCTGCGGGATGGTTAAGACCAAGGTAAAGCAGGAACTATGCAACAAGAGTTGTAGCTTTTGGGTCTAATAAGGTCAGTGAAATCCCCTCCGGATTTATCCTGAGATCCTGTACCTCAGAGTGTAGAACCTTTGTCAGTGCCACCCATGTGGATGAGTCACGGCCATTGCTTGGCCAATGTGCTCTCTGTGACAGCCTGAGAGAATGTTTTCTCTCCATGTGACTCTCTTTAGGCACACTCTACATCATTGATCACTTTCCTCTTTGGCCCCATAATCTCCTTGATCAGAAAATTTGGGATACTACTGAGTTACATGACGTTACAGTACAAGTTCTCATATGTCCTGAGTCTTAATTGACCTTAGAAGGCTAGGGCCAAAATGTTGGTTTTCCGTGCAGCCCTCCTTTTTCTCTAATTTTGATCTGCAAACTTAGCTACTGCTTTCTTGGTTTTTCTCATGTGTGCTGCTGCAGACTGGACCAAAGGAATCACATGGAAGCACATCCTTAGAGCTTTTCTACTTTAAGACAAGGTCTCACTATGTCTCTAAGTCACCCTCCTTTGAGAAAGGGTCTTTCTAAATTGCACAAGCTGGCCTCAAGGTTGAGCTCCTCCTGCCTTAGCTTTCCGAACCACTATGATTACAAGTATGGGCCACCAGTCTTGTTGATTAAATTCAATAAATAAATCACTACTACCACTTGTGCTGGCTCCAGCTACCTGGCTGGAATTAAACTGGCCAGAAAGACCTAGATTGCAACCCTGTAAATTTCAACCTCAGGCTCTCATTTAAGTCTCCTTTTTAAAAGTCTTAACTCCTTTCACCTGGTTCTCCTAATTAGCACTCAGGTCTTTCTCTGGGCTTCATTTTTTGCTACTCTAAAAGATCCATAGATTCCCCAAATGAATTCTATACATGTCAGAACCTGTATTTTCAATCAGACCTGTATTTTCAATGAGTCACCTCCTATAAGCCTGAGAACACAGGAAAACAATGAAAACAAGAAGGTTCCTGCTTAACCCCAAGATGATGAATACACTGATAACAGCACCTTGTCTCTTATCTCTTTGGACCTAGCACATAGCTTAAATTTTGCTCATTGTAGAAATTCAAACACTTTCTTTTAAATAAAAGACATTTCTGGAAATGTAGCCAAGAAATTACAACCAATTCAACATAGTTGAAGGGCTGGGAATATATGAAATTGAAAAGGAAGGCAAGTATTTTCATCAAGGGCTATGTTTGCTCTTCTATGGTGTACAAAATTATCCTTCAGGACACTGAAATGATTAAAGACAACCAGATTTGTGAATCAGAAAGACTACCATATAGCAAAAAACAGCAGATGTTTCTGAAAGGAAGAAAACAGTGAGGAAACAGGTGACTTAAAGATGATCATAGTATGTCAGGCAAATACAATACTGAGGGCCCCTAATCAAGGACTCATATTTGAAAGAAACTCTGTCAACTTATATGTAGCACCTATTACGATTCAGAATAACAATAATAAAAAAAGGGAATCATTTGGGAATTATGAATGGAAAGGAAATTGAAGATGACAATAAATCCCAACTTTTTAGCTTGAGACAGTACTGTAGTTACCATGAGATACAAATACAAGAACAGTTAGGAGGGGGAAGGATCATGTACAGTTTTAGATATGTTTGTGATAATAATATCCCGGGATGGAGGTTCTCTTCCTTGTATCATGCTACTAAATTGAGCTTAAATAAAACTATTTAGGACTATGATGTGTGATTAAAGATTACAGTGAATGTTCAAAGTATAAAAAATGTATTACAGTAAGAGATGTTACCATTAATCTCCCTCAAAATACTTTCCCTTACTGTGAATATAGTTATCACACCATTCTTCTCACTTCTTGAAGCAATTCTGTAAGTCCTTTTTCATGGGGGTCCAGTTGCACAGTTGTGCCTGCCTTGATGTCCTGAACAGATGTAAGGCATTACCTTTCACTGTCATTTTTTTTTTAATTTTTTTTTTTATTTTTTATTTATTTGAGAGAGAGAGAGAGAGAGAGAGAGAGAGAGAGAGAGAGAGAGTGTGGTGTGTGTGTGTGTGGCCAGCTCAGCCCACCAGGGGGCGGGGCTGGCTGGCATGTGGTGCTGGGGGATTGAACCGCGGTCCCTGATGCCCCGCCAAGCTTGTTCCAAGTAGGTGCCCCAGACCACCGAGCCATCTCTCCAGCCCCTTCACTGTCATTTTGACTCTGGAGAATAGTCACAAGTCACACAGTGAGAGATCCAGCGATGGGTAAGGACTCACTGACAAGCCTACCCTTCTGCAGGATGGCACTTGGCAGGAATAATATCCTAGTCTTGACCACACTTCATAAATACACTCATGAATGGAGACTTCAAAAACTACTTCAGAAAGTGGCAAAAATTACTGAGGTTTGTGTAAAGCAAGGAGGGATATTAAGAGGGGGATTAAAAGCAATGTGTCTTACTGTAATCCTGTACATAAGTGCTTATTATGTATTTTGACCATATTATATTTCTGCTGTGAACCTGTTTCTTAGAGTACTAATTCTTAATTCTTCAGCTTTCAAATTCTAGAGCCTGTTCACTCAGCTTATACCATAGTGCTAAATATTTGCCTTCTGCTTTGGGCCTTACCAAAAGCTGCCTTCTTCTGTGTTCCACTCAACATCTTCATTCCCTGGTTGGCCTGGTTGTGCAGTCACCCAGAACGACCTTCTATCCTTATCTATAAAGCTTCTGTACCATTTCAGCCACTTCAATCACTATACTACCCCACCTCCAAATCCACATGTAGATGGTATCACTTGTTTTTACTATATCACTTCTCAAAGCACTTGGGATCCTGTACATTAGTTTGATCTCCAAGTACACAGACCTTTATATCCTCGAAAGGAAAGGTTTACATTACATTTGCTTTCCTGTAGCATAAGGCACAGCTACGACTCTAGAAGTCTTTGTTAACCAAGTTATGACAACTTTAGTCTTATTTTTTAAACAGTAATCTAACAATACTGACTGTCCCAACTCTGTACGCTCTGATCAGCTGCTTATTCCAAAATTTAAAAATTAAGTTTACATCCTTCTTCCTCTCATGCCCTAAGCAGTACCAGGCCTCTACAAAACACTCACCTACGGGAAAAAACAAAAATTCAACCATGCCTGCGGACAGCTTTCAAGAAAACTTCCTATCACGCTATTTACAACCTGTGCCAAATTCATCTATCAGTTCCTAGGCCCTCTACTATCTTGCAATCTTCTCTACCATGAATGTAGAGCAACACAGGCAAAACACACCTTGCTCTTCCAAGAGCTCTTCGCTCTTCACTCCACCTTCCCTTCCTTTTTCTCATCTGACACAACGCAAACCAATGCCACCTCCTCAGCTAAACCGTCCTTGGCTACCTCCGAGAGGGGTCCTTCCCTTTCCACACACTACCAACTGCTTCACCCACTCTCCACGCCGATGCCCTCACTCAGCTTACGGACCCAGACACGCTCATCACGCCCTGCCAGCGCAGTGCCTGACTCTCAGGAGCCTCCAATCAACAATGCCAGTTATTCGTCACCGTTAAGGAACAGGAATTTCACCCTCTCCAGAAAGACAGCCCCCAGCCCCCTCGGGGACCCTCCGAAGGAACGGCCCCTGAAATTCTGGGCTGGCGGAACAATGTATCTGGGCAGCGGCAAAGTTCTCGGGGCGGCCCTCGCTGCACAGAACGCGCTCCGGGACACCCGCCTCGCCCGGGGAGCCCCGCCGCTCCGCTCCCGGCCCCGTCACCTCCCGAGAGCCCGCGCCGCGAGACCCCAAGCCGCGCCGCAGACCCGCCGCTCACCTTCCAGGATGGACACCACGACGAGCAGAGGGTCGGCCTTAGAGCCCATGGCTGCGGCGGCGGCGGGGTCTGCGGGCAGCGGGCGCGGCGAGCGGCGTGAGGGGGCCGGCGAGGCCCGGGGAAGAGGCTCCGGGGCCCTCGCGCTAGGGACACCCGGCCCCCACGTCCCCGACCCCGGCAGCCCCGGCTCCGGCCTCAGGCAAAGGCGGCTCCGCGTCCCGGCCCCGCTTGTGCGCCGCAGAGGCAACCCCGCCGCCCGACAACCTTGTGCCGCGAGTTCAGCCGCTTTTCAAACGCCCGGGCAGCCGCCCGGACGCCGCCGCGCCCCTCTTCCGCGTAGCAACCAGGCCCGCGGGCCGGGGCCGCGGAAGCGGGAGGACAAAGGGTGATAGAGAGCAGGCCCGGCGCGGGTAGAGCGGCCCTCGGCCCGCCGCACCGCCCGCCCTTTCCGCGGCTCTCCCGGGCTCTCGGTACGCGCGAGCCCGCCGCCGCACAGCGCCCCCTGCTGGCCGGACGCGCACGGGCGGGGCGCACCGCGCAGGCGCAGCGCCGCGGCGGCGGGGCCGAGGTGCGCTGTGTCCTGGCTTCAGCGCCGCGCCGTCGCCTGGGCAACACAGCGAGGGGCAGTTTTTTAAATGCTAGCTTTTCCCAGACACGGAGTGTAAATATTGCTGAAAAGTTAAGTAATAGGAAACTGGTTGAAGTCTGAACTGGAAGCCGCGGTCGGCACGGCGAGCCGAGGTGAGCTGAGGTTACTGCCCTCCCGCCCTCGCCCACGTTTCCTGTAGCCCAGGAGTCCCCAGCAGGACACGTGGGCAGAACCCTAAAAGGTGGCTTCTGGGCGACTGGCCCCGGGTAAGCCGCAAAGTCAAGACCGAACGCGAAGGCATCAAATACAATCCACCCACGTAGTCTCTTCAAGGTCTTCCAAGATTGTATTTTAGGGCAGATTAGAAAGCGTTTGAAGCTTACTTAGTTTAAAACCCAGAAAACCAGATCGGTTGGAGCAGGTATGGCTATTCTAAACATTAAATGTTGTAATAATTCTGGTTTGAGAAACAACTTCACAACCAGCGACTAGAGTAGTAAAGCAGGTGAATTGGGATAGTGCCACGCTCGGGATCTAAGTCCACAGCTTTTTGGTCTGTCCAACTTGTTTTGAAAACAAAATAATTTCTCTGGCCCTTTTTGTCTCCTCTCCTCCTCTTTTTCCTCTTCATCCTCAGCCTTACCTTTAAAAAAAAAACTTGAAATATTAATATTTACCCACTATTCTTTCATACTGAAAAATAATAATCCCTAAATAACATTATATACTGTTCAAACTTCTCTGGTTGCCTTTGATTCTCTTTTTAACCTCCTCATCCTCTTCCTCCTCGTTCTCAAACTCATCCTGTTTTCAACTCGTCCTCGGCCTCGTGTTTTTTTCTTTGTGCTAAAAAGACAGCAGGATGTGGAGTGGACTGCAGTACTTTGTGTTCTTCACTGAACATTGTATTCTTTTGTGAAAGATAACGATACAGAAAAATATAATGAAGCCCCGAGTACTCAGAACCCCCTTGCAACACCAATACCAACTTCATCTGTTGCGTTTTTTATTCACTTATTTATGTATTTGGTACAGGGTCTCACTACACAGCTCAGACTTGTAGTGATCCTCCTGTTTTCAGCCCATCTTCAGCGCAGGGACCACAGGCTTGTGCCACGATGCGCAAGGGCCGGACCCGCACGGCTTGCGGTACCGGGGATGGAACCATGGTCCCTCTACTAGCTTAAGCAGGCACTTAGTCTGCTGAGCTATCTCACTGGTCCTTGCTGCATTATTTTGTAGGAAATCCCTAACATTACATTATCTCTTTTGATTACATCTAATAGACAAAATCTTTTTTAAAACTCTTGAAATATTAATATTTAACCACTTCCTTGATATTGGAAAAATTATAAGTAATTCCTTAATACCATTAAATATATACTGTTCAAACTTCTCTAATTGCCTGTGATTTTCTTTTTGTCACTTGGTTTGTTCAAATCAGGATTAAAACCAATGCCAAATCACAATGTCTTTGGCTGTTCCATCTCTTCATTTATAATTATCTATTCTTTCTTTTTACACCCTAAATTTTATTGAAGGCTCGGGTCCTGGGACCAGGGAGATGGCTCAGTAGAACAAGCGTGTGCAAGGGCCTGAGTTCAATCCCCAGTTCCGCCTCCCCTCCACCAAAAAAAAATCGGGTCCTGGATCTTGTAGAGTTTAACATATTTTAAATTTCCTTGTTTTTTTTTTTTGTATAAAAAGATTTATTGAAATTTATCAATGACAAACAGACATAAAACTCAAAAGTTTGGCTTTTCTGAGGGGCAGGAGAAAAACCGGTGCAGATGGTCTTTTATACAGATGCGACACGGGTTGGGAAGTAACACATCACTTCTAAAGCGACCCGGAAGAGGAACACAAATGCAAACCTGTACATTCACTAGGAATTTGCAGTCATTTCGGATCTCCACTAGGTAAGAAAATACAATTCTGCGTTAGTTTTTCCGTGCTTGGGTGTATGAAAAAAAAACCCAGCCGACATGCAGCGACATCTCTTCCGTGCTTAGGTCCGTAAAAATGTCCTAAGCCCGGGAGTACACATGGAAGAATTCTCCTGTCGTTTTTTTGTAAAACAAAGCATCTAATATTTTACAGAACAAGATAGGACAGTTTTTTTTTTTTTTTAAGAGGTTGAAATCTGAGGGTTTCTTTTAATTATCACTAGCAAACCCCTTTTACTTGTAACTCATAAGCCTGCCGTTTTCAGCTTCCAGGAGTAACATCAGAATCCTCTTTGTAGAGCAAAGCCCGCCACCATCCAAAGGGAAAAGGACGAGAGACTGGGAAATGTCCCCAAACCAGTGCTTAAACACGCCTTTAGGTTGCTATTTACAAACCAGGGCGCTGGATGCCTCTAGCAGGCTGGGAAATGCAGAAATCTCATGAACCAAAGCAAGAGTTAAAGGGGCTTTCGCTCAGCCCCTCCTGGGCCTGGCGTGACCAGGCTACGGCCAGTCCTGGCCTTCTGGCCACCTCCGGGGGCACAGAACATACCAGGTAATACAAGAGACCTGCAAGCCATCCTCTTTGAGTGAGAGACAAATGCTCACTCGGTGTGTATTCAGCTATTTTGCATTTACAGGGACAAAAAA